GTTGTTTGCCTTGGGTGAAGTCTCGTGAGGTTGAATTTGGCGTTTGTGTTGTGTTGTGCCTCGTTTTGACCTTTTGGGAGGCGCGGTGTCCTCTTTGTCGCTGTGCTTTCCCGACATTTTTGGTCTCTGTGTTTCTGCGTAACCTACATTTTCCTAGTGTCGTTTTACAACCTTCGATATTTCTCAGGTGCGGTAGCGAGATCTTGGGCAAGATATTCACGGGGAGGACAACGCCTAAAAAATAAAATAAAGCAAATAATTAAGCCCATATCGACACCAGCGCACTACCGTCGTGTACATGTACGATGCGTAGGTCGTAGAACACCATCGCTTTCAGCGTTTTGGTGGTACAGTACGGGGAAATTCAAACGATGGTATGCAAGTATGTATTGCAGCACAATAGCAGCAGTGGTTGCGACCTGCAAATCACCTTGGTCGTAGGTTTCAAACAACACCTACCTCTTGTGGTCGCCTTTCTGCTGCGAATGCGCACCTTTTGACATATGTTTCGCCTTCATTGGCCCTGGGGATGGTGCGTTAGTGGCCCCGGAATTTCAAAGACACTTCCCCGCGTTAAAGACACTTTTTGGGGGGGAAAACGTGGTGTGTCTTTAAAGCGGGGTCGACTGTAGTATCTATATGTGCATGTGCAATACTCTAGACTAGTTGAAATTTGTGTAAGGAAGTTGGACAAACTCCGCATCATATGTACATGGCGTGCTTGTACAGTAGTCCCCTGCGAAAACTCGTTCTCAATATTTTTTCGCCCCATTGGACGCACAATCTTTCTGGGCGGCAGTCAAGCGTGTTGTGCCATTTACACCTTGTGGTACGTGTATGTTTTGATCACCAGCGGGACTTTACACATCCCCTTTCAGGAGGAGGTCCCCACCTGTCTCCTGCCGTGGTCGTCTTCAACTTCATCGCGAGACGGGTTTAGCAGTCCGGTGACTTCACACGGTTGATAAAACGCTCACGTACTTACGAACGCTGCGGCTTATAAGCACTGTCCACGGATTTGTACCGAATCCTTTCGCATACAAATGATGAAGGATCCGTGCACAGAAGGCGACAGGCCTTCCTTCAGGGAGAGGCAGCCTCTGTCGTCGCCAGTTGTGCATGGTAGGAGCAGGAGAGAGGAAGTATAGACAGACGTTGGGCACAGAGGGAATGCGCAACCAAAGATGCACTTCATGGTGTTTCACCACAGCATCGAGACAAGATATCATTGATTTAGCTACATGCATACACCAACACACAACACCCAATGGACGACATGAATATATGTCGCTGCGTGGCAACACACACCACGAACAGGGAACAGTGACACACATGCACATTGACGTGCACCTGATGATCCCTCACGGTAACTGCTGTGACACGATCATGTCTGTCAATACAGGAACGCTCCAACGCGAGAATCGAAGCAGGGCTGGAACGACGGCTCGTACGACAACAGCAACGGAAGCTATAGCGATTAGCCCGCAGTGAAACCCGTGGGCTCATGAATATTACAGCAGTGCGACTGGACACCTGGAGAGCTATCGGCCATGATGTTTCGTACCAAGGGGACAGGACATGTCGACGCTTGCGATTTGTAGTTTGACACTGGCCACCTTGACTCAAATCACAACACCCTTGGGTGAGCTAGACGCATATTCATGGACTTTTCACAGAGGACAACACCTTACGGCGCAGCGCGCCGCAGATTAGCACAAAACACAACCACAATATCCTAGCAGCCACAAGGCGTGCTGCATTGAACGGCGGACACATGCACGCGGAGCAAATCAGAGCCCGACATCGCAATCATCTTGACGGAACTACAGCAGTATATAGTACGGTAACACGGCAACTGTTATTCCAGCTGCCGGATAACCCCAAGTGTGCTTCCGTAGCAAACGCCCTCCAGAGTTCTTACAAATCCGTGATCGGATGCGTAAGTGAGGACGGCAAACGATGCCGCCCACACCGCCATATCCCTGAATCGGTGTTTTCAGAACATGGCATTCCTCTCAGCTTGGCCGGCGTCGCGCTTCACCTCCTTCAAAGCCCTTTCCACCGACTCGTTGACGTTAAACGCCATGGTCGGATGCATTGGAGGCGGAGCGTGGAGGCTGGTGGTTGCGCTCGGAGGTGCGATAGGCGGGGGCACAGCCGTCGGGTTGAACATACGGGGTGAGGGCGCCCTTAAGGGCGCCACAGCCTCGCCAGTCAGCGTCGAATCGCTACGGGGGGACGGACCCTCGCCCTGCTGTTCCTCCCTTACCGGCGCCGCGCCCGTCGGCGACACGCCAGCTGTCAACCCCATGGGTGGAGGAGGCATTCGCTTGCTTTCCGATGATTCCCTGTCTTCGATGACCGGCTTCGGAGACGCTTGGAACATGTCTGCCTCACCGTGGAGAGTTGGTGGGGTACGCGGAGCTGCTGGCGCGTTGACGGCAGTGCATCATCGCAGGAGCAGATGTTCTGCGGCTGCGGAAGACCGCACTGCCTGGGGACTCTACGGACCTAGTACGTGACGTGGACGCTTGCATTCCCTTCTTCCTGTTCGCCTTTCGTTGCTCTCTTTGCTTCTTGAGGTACTCAGCCCGGTCTTTCTTGGAAACGCCGTCCTCTACCAGCGGCCCTGTCGTCCTGCACGGTGGTGCATTCTGCGCGAAACAGACACCAGAGCGAACACGCAGCAGACGTAACAAGTCAAACCCCCATGTGCCTCGTACGCAACAGCTCGTAGTTGAATGATGACACCTCGCCACATACAAACCAGCTTGTGTATGTACGTCGTGTAGGGTGAGCGAGAAACGTACAACATCTTCTTGAACAGGGAAACAAATCCCCAAATCCCCACGGTCACAGAGCTAGACCAACAATAAGATACAAATACATGCACAGGACGGGATAATCCAACCATTCGTGGCCTTGCGTGAGAGGCACGCGGAGGCCTACTTCTGGTATCTGCAGCGTGTCCGCTCCGGTGTCTGTTTCTCGCGGGGTGCAAGTGTGAATATAACTTCACAGAACAGCCTAGACGTGGGCATGAATGTTGAGGCAGCAAGTGCTGGCGTGATTGAACAGGCTGTGTCATGACGGCCCCGAAGGGCCCGTAGAAAGCCGAGGCTGCCGATCTGTCGGACTTGAGGAGGGTCGTGAAAGTCACTCATGACCCTACTCACACCCGAAAGATAAGCAGCCTCGAATTTTTGCTGACAGAGCCTGTTCAGTCACGCCATCACTTGCTGCTTCGAGGTTCATGTTCACGTCGACACTGTTGGGTGAAATATCCACACTAGCACCCTACGAGAAGCAGACCTACGAGAGACAGACACCGGAGCGGAACCGCAGCAAATAACACACGGCAGCCCCGACGGGCTGGTCACTCAAACGGCTGGTTCTCGAATGACAACAGCTCGCCATCACACAGTGGAGCTATGTACTTCGAGGTATGGTGAGTGCTGAAACGTAGATGGATCGATTGATGAAGGAAGGCTTTGTGAAGGCCCAAGAACATATCCACCGTTGCAGACCTTCACCCACCAACAATGAGGTAAAAACGAAGTCCCCGAGATAATTCCCGCCACTTGCAGCAACATACCTTCCTGAAACCACAAGTTCAACATGCCAAAGATCACTGCCACCGAAAAAGAGGTGAATCACAAAATTGACAGGCCCTAGATAGTACATCCCCGTAAAGGGGAAGCGAGCACTTTCTCAACACGAAGTCGTACGGCGACAGCATTGCGGCTTCACACCCTCTTGTCTCACCTTTAGGACCCTCAAGCCCGTAGAATCGGTGGCTGGCTGCCTCGGTCTTCTGCTGGTCGATCGGCACCGTCGGTGCGATCGGCGGCCCTGGCAGAGCCTCTTCACCCACGGCAGCATCGACGTTCATGTCGAGACTCGCACTCGTTTGGCGGCCAGGCGATGGCAAAGTCTTTTGGGTCTTATCCGTTCAGCTTCTCTTCGTGGGGAACCTGTTCTATCTCAAGCCCTCCTCCCACCAGCACAGCAGTTCCCACCGAGGTAGATAGTCTAGACTAAAGCGCTCAAAGTGGTTCTGTCTCGCACTATCACAAATGGCAGGCTATGATTGGCTTGCACTATCACGAACCAATGCTCTAATCTCACCGCACGTGGGAAATGAGGCCCTGTGAGCGGCATGCACCTACGGCTCCCTACGGTTGCCTTGCACCCTTGCACATGTTTCTTTTTCGGGACTCCAGACGTCAGGCACTGCAGCAGTAACATATACGGCGAACAGAACCAGTTCTACAATAACGGGAACCCCTGGCTCATCGCGTCTCCTGTGTCCAGTCTGTCCGTGTCCAGTATCCAGTAACACTGCTGTTGCTGGGTGTGCTTCTGTAGATTGGGTGTGTATGCTGCCGTCGTGCCCCGAGTAACTTACAAAAGTGCAAGGATGGAGGTCACTGCTTCCCACGCTCCGCTCTCCCAATCGCAATGGGGAAGCGGGAAGAAAACGGGTGGTAGGTGGCGGGAAAAATCTGGGCGAGACGGAAGAAAGAACCGAAAACAACGGGATGATTTGCATGGCAGGCGGCAAAACGTTTTCCCACCGTCTACAGCAGTACATCCCTACAGTGATCATTCCTGCTGTTCCTGTCTTCCACGTGTGCTCACCTGCACTTTGCTGAAAGCCTTCCGCTTCGTTCTCCCTCGCTCTACTATTGAACCACTGACGACGACGCACTGAGCGCTTGGATATGCCACCGCTTAGGGACTTCTCTGAAACACCTGCCATGGTGAGCTTTTTAAAACGAACCTCCCATCGATCAGTTCTCCGTGCTGTGTGTAGGCGACTTGCGTAACATGTGCATCGTGATCCTTACATCGGCGGTGCGGCTGAAGACTTCTGCCAAACCGCGTAGGACTGTAGACAGTTTGTCGAGACGACATCAGCGAAGATGTATGAACGCCATTTTCAAACGAAAATACATAGTCTAGTCTAGTCTAGTCTAGACTATGTACATAGATCGGGAGTAACTGCCGTTGAGACACCACTGCCGAGAGTTTTGTCTTATGTTCATCTTGTTAATGTAGATGACAGTACATTAGTTCCCTGAACGCTTAGAACACACATGCAGACCAACAGTGCAGCCGCACAGGGTCCTCGGTGGAACGCCTGGGCCGAGGTAGTAGGTTCCCGTCTCTGAAAAAGACTGCCAGGGCCCTGAGCTTCACATGGAGACCACGATGGCTCCGCCTCAAGCCTACCCTTCCTTACCTTACCCTCGCTAGATTAGCCTCACTTTACCAGCTCGGCACTTCCTTGCCTACCAAAATAGCAAAGAAAACTGACGCCACAATACAGCTGTGGCGGCGTCAAGGGCAAGGCCGCGCTTAACGAGCCCTCCGACTCATTCGGCTAGAACTTACTGCAACGACCGTGGTAGCCTTTGTGGCAGCTGGTCGCACCCTTGTATCCAGGGCGAGCCGTTACTATCCGCCACTTTCTTTTTCGCGAGCGGCATCCGACAAACACTCTCTGATTTTAAAAGCTTCACTCGGTCGGGTAGTGCACGTGGTCTCGAAGGGTCTCACGTGACTCTATAGAGTGTTGCGGGTGCCGTACGGATTCCCTGATCTCTACGTTGATCCACGTGTGTCTAATCGATTTCTTCATCAGAGCATGGCCCCTTCGGCTGGTCAAGATTTGGAGCTCGGCAGCCAAAATGGGCCAGTAGAGCCCGTGGGCAAGCTGTGGGATTCTCCCATCCAGCAGAAGGTGGGAAACGCACCGCACCATCTGATGCGTGCGTGAAAGGTAGCCCTCGTGGCTCCCGATCTATCCGAATCCACGCCCACGTTGATCTGAATTTTGTGGCAGCACTTGCAACCCTACTGGATATTGGGAATTCTTTCGCCCATATCATTACCCCAGCGGCCGAGGATTTGTGTCTAGACATTGATGTGACCCCCCTGGACAAACTTTCAAAGCTCGAATCGTCCACAGCAGCAAGATGGGCGGTTACCCAAATGGCGGCGTTGACGTTGTCTCAAGAACTTTCCGAGAAAAACTCATTTCATTTATGCATCCTCTTCGTCGTGGCGTAATTAATTGGTATGGGAATCGGTACACGGGGTGTGGTATCTTGCGTAGCCCACGGTACTTGGGGAATTGACCAGTAAGGTACCACCAAACGCAAATCTTCCGCGGTTGCTCGCGTTTGACCCACGCCCTGCCGCCGAAACCAACGACATTCACCCTTCAGGTGGACTTCCGTTTTCGCGACGTGCGCTATAGCGTAGAGGTCTCCCAAACAAAGGCGTCTCTGATGGGGGGCGAGGCCGGCGTGAAGCAGATCCTGAAGGGCGTCAGCGGAGGGGTGGAGTCCGGGCAGATCTTGGCCATCATTGGCTCTAGTGGAGCGGGCAAGACATCCCTGCTCGACGTGCTCGTCGGAAAGGTACGTGCGTCATGGCGCGGCAGGGTGCGGGGGCGAGAGGGCCGTAGTGCTAAGACAACGTAGACCAGGATCGCGGCAGTGTGTGCGGAAGATCATCCTGCCCTTGCTCAAATCTGATTCGTATCAATTGTTGCTCGTATTGGCAAACGCGAAATGCTCTCTCCGCCCTTTTCAAGGCGATGGCGATTGTTCACGGCGAATACGAAAGCCAGCACGCCAGTGCCTCCTTCCCACCATCACCCGTCAGACATGTCTTGGCTTCGCTTCACTGTACTCCATCCCTTTCGTGTTTCGTCCGCACCCTCCAACACCACGTTTTTCCCGTGGGGGGGCGGACACGCGACAAACAGGTATCAGCCGGCACGAAGGGGCTGGACATCACGGGAGAGGTAACCGTCAACGGCAAGACGATGTCCAAGTCCTTTTTCTTGGAGAACGCCGCTTACGTTCCTCAGGAGGATCGCCTGTGGAGTGCTCTCACAGGTGACAGACTTGGCTGGAGAATGAACACAAAATAAAACTTACAATTCGTTCGAAATTCCAAAGTTTGGCTGCTGGAATTGCAACCACCCAAAGGTTGCTTCCACCAGCACTAAGATTGGAGGGGTAACATTGTTTCCAACCGAAGCGGTTGTGCAGAACGTGCCTTCTTTGAACCAGTTTTGTTCCAGTACGCTGCCCGAGAGTCTCTTAAGGATCATTTGTGGAGGTTTTTTTCTCGGGACACTAGCTACCTTAAATGAAGACATATGGCAAGAAATTGATGAGTGTCCCACCCCCTCCCCTTGCTGGCCGGGCATCCTTGTACCTAAGTTCGGGAAAACCTGATGTTCGCGTGCAAGATGTACAGCCCTGCGTTGTCTCGAGGAGAGTGTAACAAGCGCGTGGACAAGGTGCTCGCCAGCTTGGGGCTCGAGGGATGCCAGCACATTAAGGTAACGTCGCCGCCCTATTTAGCACGACAAGCAGCGTTGCGACGCCGAAACCTCCCTTCCTCCTCCCCGCCCGCAGCCAGGCTTGTACGTACATGTAGGGCTGAAGGGTATATATTCCCTGGTAAATTGTTCATTTCGAGAGCTGCCCAAAATATGTGAAAAAGCGGTGTACCAAGGGCAAAATCACACGATAATGGCGATAGGGTGTCATTGGTCATGGACCTGCGACTCTTGAGAGCAAAGAATATGCATCCACCTTCCATTCCTTGTGCTTTCCATCACTGGTACAAAATGGAAAACAGGTCGGCAACGTCTTCCTGAAAGGCGTTTCCGGCGGTCAGAAGCGGCGCACTTCAATTGGCGTCGAGCTCGTCGTCCAGCGCAAGATTCTCTTTCTCGGTGAGTTACATTTTCACGATATATTTTTCTGCATAGAGTGGATACGTCCCAGCGCGTGTTGCTGCCGAGCTGCTGTCGGTTTAGCGCTGTCCCTGACGCACGCGGGGGTTGAGTTGTTTTTTCCAGTGTCGTTATTGAAAACACATACGTTGCTTATAATGGTTGAGTATCAGACATGTTTTGTTCATCTCGATCGACATACGTCTGTCGCGCCGGCACCTCATGCTCCCTCCCAATGCTCCCTTAGACGAGCCGACGTCTGGACTGGACGCGGCTTCTGCCTCCGAGATCATGGCGTTGCTAAAGCACCTGGCGTCTGAGACCGGTGTGATCATCATCACGAGCGTGCACCAACCATCCAGCCGCGTGTTCAATAGTTTCGATCAGGTGAATGAAACGCACCCTATCGAGGCCTTGGGAGCGCCAAAAGCTAAAAACAGAAGCAGTGGGTAGAATGTTGGGGCTCAAGAGACGGAATATTCTTTCACGATGTTGAGATAGGCACATGGGTTCATCTCGTTTCGGTTTGCACCGCGCAGGGTTCCGTCACAACAACCGCGTCGACATATCGTTTCCCGGAACACTATATTTCGTGGTCGCTATCATTCTTGCCCCCCTCGCGTTGAACAATGTCGACCCAGTCTCTCCGGCGCTGAATGAACGCTGCCCCACCCACGCGTGCGATGATGTCGCTTGTTGAGGCAGGTGATTCTGTTGACGATGGGGCAGACGGCCTACTTCGGGCCGGCGGTGGACAGCCTCGACCATTTCGCTAGCTTGGGGCACGAGCCGCAGGGCCTGGTGAACCCGGCAGACTACCTTCTAGAGGTACTACTGTACCTCATGAGGGCCATCGAGACGTACATTTTATGACACTCCTAAATTACCATCCAGGCACACCCTCTTGACGTACTGTACCTCATCGGAATCATCGAGGCACACCTTATCCAAGAACCTCATAAAACCACCAGACATACCTTTTTGAGATGCTCTACAGCAGTAGTCTGTGTACTTGCCTCTAATGGTGTACCAGGTTGTATTTCCCATTAATGAAGAACGAACAAATTTAGAACGGGTTTCTTGTCGACATTATCTGGGATGCTTGTGATCAAGCCCCTCGTTGATTGGCTGAGGACATCAGAGTTTTCTGTGTTGTTTTCCGAGTGCTTTCAGTAGGAGTACTTCCTCGCTTTGCATTCTCAAGCAGGGTGTACTACACCGTCCTGCGAGGCACGAGGTTCTTGCGGGAACCCTCCCTCTCCTTCCTCTATAAAATACGACAGAGTTAGTATCGTACACGATACACGATAGACACCCCTTGGTGCCCCAAACCGTGGAATCGTTCCAATGATAACCCTTGTTTCCATCCCTCGCATCTGTTGGCTTCCATGCCCAACCAGATCACCAACTCCGACTTCAGCGACAAAAAGGCCGTGCAGCGGCTTGCCGATGTGTGGAAGGAGACGCCGGCATACCGAGCGCTAAACGCCCGTATTGAAGCACCCCTCTCTCCGCCATTGACGGAGGGATCAAAGGCTGGCTGGTTCTCCGCTACCCTGCAGCTCCGTGAGCTTGTCGCCAGGGCCTCGATGAACAGCGTGAGGGACCCCGCCGCCTATGCCCTGAGGTACGTCTTGAGAGCGGACGAAGATGTGGTTTGAGAGACAAATGACACCGTTAACGCTAAACGGCGGGATACGAGTTAAATGATTCTTGATCTGAGCACAGGAGGCTCTAATTGAAACCATCCTTGCTTTGAGCACAAGGAGAGAGTTGCCCGGTGTCCCACCCAAGCCATCAACCGTGTTGGGGATGCCTTATACGAGTTAACCCCGGGTATCCCTTTCCCGCTCACAGACAGTTCTACACACAACTACTCGACGGTCTAGGTTAGGAGTAGGCGTACGGAGCGCTGTCACCAGCGCAAAAGGGCGCGAGACATGTTGTTGGGGTTCTATCGAACCACTCGCAGAGCAGGAGAGGCGTCGCTTACTTTGTCAATCGAGGCCCGTGGTTTGAAGCCAGTTGTGCTGGGGACTCGTCCGTTATTATATCTGGATATCAAATCGGCTGTAGACTGGAAAATACGCTCTGTGTAGATCATCCTGTCAATACTTCGCGGTGTGAACCAGTATCTGTTATTTTTCAGCACTTATCATGTTCCCGGCCCGGCATGCGTGAGTGTTCAAGGATGGTCGGTTCTCGAAATCGTTTCCCCACTTTCGCCAACCGTCTTCTCGGGGGAGCGCATCGAGACCGGGTTGGAAAGTCTTGCTTGTTTTCTCGGCCGACGATGGTGTACAGACTAACACAACACAATAGGCAGCTCCGCTGTGGCCGCCTAGCGGACTAACTTAACCTACTGTAGTCTTGTGGAAGGAGCTGGCGAGTGTTTCCACCGGTGGAGACCATGAGCAGCACCTCACATCGCCATCTGTCTCCCCCCACCCGTTGCCGCGCCGCGCTCTCGCCCTATTCTCCTGCGCTCTACTCTCCCGCGCCCCCTTTGGCAAGGCTGGTGCTGTACGTGTTCATGTCCTTCTTCCTCGGCAGCGTGTGAGTGCCGTGTCCCTTTAGACTACCGTTGGCGTGCGTGAAAGTCTCCATACGTGCAGTGGGTCTGCGCAGTTGGGAGTGAGCTTGAGCAACGGTGACGCTAGACACGATGGTTGGACGAGGCGGATCATCCCGCCGTCACACCTTTTCTTCGGAGAGGCTGAGATACCGTACGTGTGCGTAAGTGTTCCTGATGTTCCGTGTAGTGGCATCTCCTCTAGGTTCAGCTTCGACGTGTAACGCCCAAACCAAGCACCTACGACAGTTTCTGAGTTGAATAAACGTGTTCCCTCAACCTCAACAACGTACACCGAGCAGGTACTACCAGGTGGAGAACACCCAGGAGGACATCCTCAACCGGGTGTTTCTGATCCTCTGGATCAACGCCTTCAACTCGTGTGAGTGTTGGTCCTTTTCGGTTCGAAGTCGCAAAATAGCCTTGTAGATGGCCATGTTTCCCCCAAGAGACATTACTCAGCTTTCGTTCGTTAAGGTGGCTGTGTCCGTTTGCGTGTACATCGATCTTTATTTCGGCGTGCCTGCTTTTCCAATAGCCGCCGTCGGAATGAAAAACATCCACATGCTACAATTAAATATCAGCTGGCTACTTTGGCGCCGGCAATTGACAGCTCCGCTACATGTACTCTGCACGCTCTGATGTCTGCGTTTCTATCCTACGGCCAAAGTCTCGACGGTTTCTGCTTCAAGCATTTCGCATCCTGTGCCCCACGTGGCTCTCGAGGTATCGAGGTTAGCTTGAAGCGTCAACAACAAGCAACTCAGCCGCCGTGCTGCGCGTTCACACCCCGCTAATTTTTTGTCGGTCATGTTTGTCCTCGCCAATAAAACAACCTCTTGTGACATTAATTGCTCTTGCCAGACATGGACATGGCGGCTATCCCCGTCTTCGAGCAGGAGAAGGACGCGGTGGTGAAAGAAGTACAGGCATGGAACTATGGCCTATTCTCGATTGTCTTTCAGGCACTGGCTGGGGAGAGTGTGTCGCTGTGCGGCGGGAGTTTCGCCGGATGATTCAACTATTGTACTCCCCTATGCGTGTGTGGTGGAGCACTCAGCAGCGTTCACATTGGGAGGTCTATGGTGTACCGAACGCTTCCGCACTAATCTCCTGCTCTGCACGAGGCCAGTTTATTTCTGTGGGGTTTCTAAACGTCCGACTATTAGAATGGAGTAGGTTTTTGTGTAGGACTCTTGTTTGTCGAGCTTTTGAGGCTCAACTCCTTAACTGTCTACTTCGAAGTACTTGTTGGGAATCAGTGGCGGGCGCTCTGTACAGGACATGTAGACGTATGTTCGGGAGAATTCGTTTGAGGTGCTCCCAGTGATGCACATAATCTCCCTGATTTGGGGTCGTGGGCGGGGACAAGGGGCAAACCACGTTGGCGCCGGTGAACACACAAACTGAGAAATCGCACACGATTAGAGTACTTTTTTTGGGATGCGTTATCTCACTGCCTTGACCCCGCGTGTGCCACAAATACTTTTTATTTGGTCCAGACACGTTTGACCAAGTAACACCTCCTCCTACGACGTCGCACTATTTTTTCCCGTTGCGCTCAACAGAACGGGCAGTACGGGATAGCGGCCTTCTGTGTCGCCAATGCGGTCGTGCAAGCTCCCTTCGTGCTGCTGATCGCCTTGTGCTGCAGCACGCCCGTGTACTGGATCACGGACATGAACGACGACCCTGTGAGGTATGGTACACAACGGGGCTGTGATGTCGCAGGAAGAACATGAGACGGGCGACCGTGAAAGCCGATTCGAAGATTGTACGGTTGCTGTTGGGGCGTGGCGGTGAACGATGCGCTGTTGTGCCAGGCCACCGTGTAGCGCTCATAACCGGTCCAACCATGCTGGGGACGGCAAACATACCTCCAACTGGCAAAGCCTTCTGCCTCTGAGCTCATCGAAGTGTACGTGCGGAGAGTGCGCGTGTCCTCCGAAAAAGGTTGAGCTTTGTTGATGTCGCTCACGCCTCTCATTGCTCCTCCTGTTCCTGCGATCCCGCCGTCGATTTTGATCGGTCAGGTATCTCCAGTTCGTAGTGGTGATGTTCCTCATGTTGTTCGTCGTCGAGAGCCTGGCCCAGCTTGTTGGAGTCGTTGTCAAGGTGAGACGCAATGTGTAGTCGCGTTCAGCCATGTTCAAGCAAACAGGCCCACACGACCACCAGTGGGAAGGTGCAATGTAGTAGTCCCATGACTTCATGCTTCATTCGGGTTTGAGCAAGTGTACCGCAGGTAGATGTCGGGGAGGGGATCGTCTTCCACGGAACACGACGACTGCGGTGCGATTCCGGTGTGGCCAGTTGGTACACTCTCCTAGATCAACGACCGTTTCGTGAACTCTGGTAGATAAACGCAACCACATGGGATCAATTTGAACCCATAATACATACGTGGCTGGCTCGTTGGTTTCGTTTGTCCCTTCGGGAGGGCAGCCTCCATGGCTCCTACAACACCGAGCATCAGCACTCCTGTTGCAGTCGTCCCAGGCGTCCATAGCGCATCGGTTCGTTTCAACCTCATTGGCCTAGAGGGGGCCATCCCTCTCGACTATTTTCCGGTACACGATCTTCTTTCCCCTGCATTACCACATGGACTGGGACGTCTCTATTGTCGGGGTGAATTCCGCCATCAATAAGCGCAACGCACTGGCGAGCGTGTGGAAATATTGTCGAGAAGGGGGAAATCCAACTAGACTTATGCATTATAGAATGCAAGATACGTTGCTCAAGACAAACGTCGGCTCGAGGGTTGAAAGCTGTGGAACTCAGGTTTCTTTGTCTGTGACGCCCATATCACACGTCCTGTTCCTCGATACCTATCTCCGGTGACTGCGTTGGGCCTGGACTCCTTTGCGACACCAGAACTTCGTCCTCGGGATCGCCGTCTTCGCCAGCTTCCTCTCCATGTTCTTCATCTTCAACGGGTGAGTGGGACATCGTCCTTTGGCAAAGTTATTGATGTTCTCTTATGGTAGACTGAACCAAAAATGAATAGTATTCTCCTCCCTTGGTTGGCCCTTGAAAAGCGTTTGGAGGCGGCCGTACCCATTGATATTGTGACCGCCGTGGTGATTACTCCTTCTGCTCGTCCTCATCCTGCTCCTCCTGCTCCTCCTGCTCCTCCTGCTTCTCCTGCTCCTCTTCCTGCTTCTCCTCTTTTGGCGAAACAAACTTGCCTAGGTACAACGGTCAGTGTAGATTGAAAGCTCTTGCGATTAATCAGGGGTTTCGATGTATCACATCGCTTCGTGCCATAACTGTGGGTACCTGATCCTCACAGTAAAACCCCCTTTTTGCTGACCAAACCCGATCATTCCACCGGTGGAAACACATGGGCGACGGGTGTGTGTGTCGTGGAAACCACAGTGCAGTCGAGAGTTCTAGCAAAGCCATGTGTTTCCCAAGATATATTGCAAGACCCCCGTCTTTCTGCACGGCAGCTAGCTCATCATTCTTGTCCATACCAGGAACCACGTTTGGCTCAGCTTCCCCGAAAATTCATGAGTGCTTTGCACACTGTACCTACGATGGGAGCTCGGCTGCAATAGTGCGGCTCGATTCAATCGCTGCTAATCGATTTCATGTGACATCCACACTCGCTTTCACCACCACTTTCCCTCCGCCTTGCCATAATCAACCTATCGGTGGCCGCCAGGTTCTTCATCGACCCCAACAACATGCCCGACTTTTGGCTGTGGCTCTACTGGATATCTCCTCTCAGGTGCAAAAGGCCGCGGAATGCGCAGCAGCATCTAGTACACATGCACGGGTGGTATATGCAAGCATTTCGACCTGCGGGGGGGAGGGGGGGTCGCTCTTCCTGCCCTCCTTCACGAGGGATAGAACCCCAAAGCCTTCCCGACCCCCTTCCTCAAACGTAACACCAAGCATCGCGATATTACATACCATTGATTATGCCTCCAGCGACCACCCCGGCAAAATACCCGCTGATGTGCACGCCTTGCATCAGGTACTCATGGGAGGCGATGGCGAAGATTGTCATCGACGGCCAGACCTACGCAGGGTTGGATACTTGTGTCACCTGCTACGGCACGACCGGCGAGCAGGCGAGCACAACCTTAGTTGTAGACATGCACATGCATTTGTTTGTGATAGTGAGGACAAACACCCAGGCCTTGCTGAGTTCGGTACATACCCAGCCTGCGTCGCACAACTCTCGCCATAAAAGCTGTCAACACATCCCTCGCTGAACATATTGATATGCGTGCATCTACTCTGTTCTTGAAAGCATACTCAAGATCCCGTTGCTTTCTTGATTCTCGTGGTTTCCTGCCCCCTTCGCAACTCCCCCTGCCGCCTCCTCCGTGTCAACCAACCGTGTACTGTACGCGCCTGGTGCGGCAGGTGCTGGACTCGCTTAGCAACGGCGGGACGAACCTTAACGACGTGAGCATCGGAGCGTGGTGCGGCGCGCTGGTTGGTTTGGCCTTGGGCTGGAGGGTGATCCACTACGTGGCCCTCAAGCGTTCCATTTTTTGAAGCCTGAGAGCCGCGCGTTCGTGTGACCATGTGTGTGTGTGAGCTTGTACTTTCGTCCCATGTACTCCTGGCACCAATCTACAGCTTCCCTGTCGGTGCTTCTCTCGGGAGAAAGGCGACACGGATCGTGTATGGCGGCGAGATACCGCCTGCATGTGATTCTTCGTGGCACCCTTTGTCTAGGTGGCCCTGTTGAAGTTGACGTTGTGGTGGATTTCGAGCGCCTGTTCTCGGCACGGTTCCATTGTCAGCCCTTTCGACTCTTTGTCGGACGGACTCGCAATCGGCAATGATAAATCATTACGACGGCTTCACCGAACAGGCGCAAGTGATTGCCCCCCACCCCCCCAATCCAATCCTTCCCAAGGAGCAAGCGCATTTGAGTTCTGCTGCCAGTCTTGCCTTGTTAATGGAAGAACCTGTATAGAATAGAAGAGCGTATTTTTTTTCTCGGCGGCTGCTGGTCTGTAGCCCTAGCCGTTTCGATAGTAGTCGTCCGACGTTGTGAAGCCGGTGCGCTGTAAATTTTATTAGCGCTGCCAGAGTTTGTTCGGGACGAGGTTTCCCACGCGAGACGGAGGGTTGAGATAAGTAATCTCGGGGCGATACACTCAACCATGCACCGACAAGCATCACCATCTTCTTCCGTGTGTTGTTCGTTTGCTGATAATACAAACTCAAGTGAATTAGCAATTTCCGACTTTATAACATATGGGGGTGATTTTTCTTTTTATTGTTCTTCAGGTTTACGGATTGTCGGGTTTTCAGGTTTGGGGAGTACATAGGTTTCTACGTTTGGGGAATACATATTCGGAGTTGGGAAGAAAGGCATGGAGTCGGAATCAATCTTACATTCTTGTCACAAGTGTGTTTGTCGTCTGCTTTTACTTGAGGTAGCCGGCATGTCGTTTGACCTTCCTTCGCACGTGAAAGGGGGGCCGTGAGATGGACAGATGACCACGATAGACGAAGTACTTCTTGCCTGAGTGGGGGGTGGGGTCTCGGAGTCTTTCCAATTTTGACGTGTACAGGCTCTGATCTTTTTGTCGTCTGGATGGGGCCTCTCTGTTTTCTGTTTTGCTATTTTTTCTGCATGATTGCTGTTTCTATCGTCTTCCGGCTTCGATCGTCCACCAGTCTATCTTGATTGAGGATTTTCTAGGTCAATATTTTCCATTCGATTCCTGGAGTTACCCTGTTGGGGTAGTTGGTCTGTGACCACAGAAGGGGCCCGAGTCCGTTGGACCAGTGGATATTACTAGAAGGTGCTGAGTAGAGCCCGGAACGGTTTTGAAATGCGAAGACAACAACCTAATAACAACAAGCAGCGGAGATTGGTTTTTGATTCATATATGAACTTAGTTTACTATGTGCGCACCTCAGCCGAGCACGTACGGTGCAGCTCGGAACCTGTGAACTTGCTTGTCTTCTATGGTTGTTTTATTTTTGTTGTTATGAGTTATTCATTGTGATAAATCAACACGACGAGTATCGTCGGTATTGCCTGTCTGAAGCTGATTTATTTTTCAGGGGTGTATTTAGCTGTTGGCTGAGTGTACTGCGTTGTTGGTAGATCAAAAACCGACGGCGGATGGGGAAAAGAAACAACAGCTGCTCGGGGGAACGACTATATAAAAACAAGTTGGTCAACGTACAACACCACAAACCCATTGGAAGTCTACCGCGGACTCGTGTCTGTCGAAGATAAAGAGCGTGGTGCTACACGTGAAGAAAAATGCTGGTCACTTGCTCGGTCAGTAAGTCACACTCGGGCCACAGGCCAAGTACCCAAAGGAAGTATGTTGACAAGAAAAAGATACTCAGAAAGGTATGACAAATAAATATGGAACGACGAAGAACATCTGCTGTTGTTGCTGATGATGACACCGTTTGGTATTTATTTGTTTTTTAAAAATAGACAGTCGCACCGAATTAGCGATAGAGACCGGACGAGGGCGACCAGGTGAAGAGGAGAAAAGTAGCGCGCATGGTCGTATGTCTCGCACATTCTGGCGTATGCAGCATGGGGGCGCATCGATCGGCGTCAGTATGCACTTTCCCGGCACCATGATTCATTGGCTCTAGGTAAAGTCGTTCACTTGCTTGGCCCGCTCACATTTTCATTCCTAAACCGCGTTTGAAATGAACATGAAGATTCCGTTGGTTGCGGCGGCCACGCCGACCCTAAGATTCGAGTTTTTCCGACTTTGTTCGAGAAGCCAAAAAGCGCAGTCAAGAAAGGAAGATGCGGGTGACCCGGTCAAAACACCGGGACAGCGCGCATGGTGGCATACTCTGGCACAACATGCAACTTGGTTGCTCCTCGACTCACCGTATGCACCTTCGTCGTATCATAGCATGTTGGCACAATGTCGCGTCGGAAACTCACTCGGCCCATTCACACTTGCATTTATTTACCAAGCCACCACCTGCAATGAACATTTCACCGGCGGACCGTTGGTTGCTCACAGGGGGACGTTTAGGTTCGATTCTTGCGTTTTGCCGACATTGTGAAATTGTTCGAGACAAAGAGCATGTGCAACATCAGCAAAGAGAGCTCACAGTGCGGTTGCTTCTGTGAGGCGAAAGGGCAATCTTCAGAGTGTAGCGTTCCCCAAACAAGGTCTGAAGGAGGAACGGACTGTCAGTGGGCCTCAGTTTGGTGGGACCTATAGTTTTCCCAAACGACTCGCCGCGGGTGACCCATGAGATGCTCATGGGTACCCCGTTTGGCTCATGGACAGTCCATAGGTCACCCATTCATGGGCTTCCGATGGGTAGCCCGTGGGCGGCGCATGAGCGGCCCATGGGCAACCCATCGGAAGCCCATGGGCGGCCAATGAGACCCCTTCGACCGAACCACCAGTGCTTTGGAACGGGCACCACTGCTGTAAAGTCTAGCGGCTAATAACACTAACGCTGACCGTAACCCTTGTGCCCGCTGACTTAGTAGTCCAAGGCTGAGTTCGTCTAGCCTAATGACTGAATTATTAGCGTAATGGCCCTTTCTAACAAAAGATACACTCTTAGCTCGTAGCCATCCGCCTGGTCACTGAGATTTAGAAGTAGGGATCTCCGGGGACGGACCCCTCGCCAGGCGCTGCCTGAAAAGTACCTAATGTTTGGTGCTTGTAAAAGTGACCAGCCGGGATTCGAACACGTGAACGTGAAAACGCCTTGACTATTAGGCCACCAGATCACAAGGAAGTCACGCCAAGTGACTTAGTGGGTCTAATGGTCAAGCGTTCTCAAACCAAGGATACGCCCACGGGTTCGACTCCCAGTGGGTCCACTCACTACACAAGAATCACCACATAATTACAGACCTGCAGCCTGGCAAGGGGTCCGACCCCGGAGATCACTGTCATGAAGCACGTCGAAGCTGGGAGACCAAGAGCCCGCCGACATATCTTTCATAGATAAAGGCTAAACCATTAGACCACGTCAGTCAGTGATAGCTTAGCCATTACCTCTTAACCCTGCCCCCAATCCCACACGGTACTTGTTTCATGGAAGCAGGCAACATATTCCATGAAATCAACTTCCACGGAAGCTCTTGTCAGGGCTAGCGGACAACCTCTATGGAAGCTTGAAAACTTCCATGATAGCAACATCAAGAAACTACCCTAAAACCCCAACCCTAACCCGACTGACCCTAATCCTAACCCCGCATTGTCGCGCAATGTTATCCTCAAGATGGACTCGGGTGATATTCTTGCGAGGAACTTCCCGAAACTGCCGTGGAAGTCACTTGGCGAGATCCCACGGAGAAGTCAAGTTCAACCAACTTCTACGGAATGGAAGTGGTATTGACTGTTATCTCAAAAAGTGCTGTCTGACGACGGCGTGATTTACACCAGTCAGTCAGTCATCCGCCAATTTCGAACTGCTCCACCCCTGCGTGGATTCACACTTACCTATCGTGAGCACTCTCTGTGAAGACGATTCGCTTGGCAATCGACACATTGTTTTTACCAGCCACGTAGTGTTGACCAATTGTTTAGCTATCCATGTATTGCCAACAACCAACACCGCCTGGCGCAATGTGCAACGGATGGCATTACTAATTCCCCCTGGAGGAACGGATGACAGTCCAGCCCAGTGAGAGGGGACGACCGCTACTCTCTGTCGTAAATTATCCACCAGTGTACATATTGGACGAGCAGGACCCGATTCGTAAGGGTATCCGTCGATTAATTTTTACTAGCATCGGTAAGCCTTCGCAGACTCGCGCGAGGGACTGTCCTGGGTTCTGAAGGGGGTGCCACAATGTGCCGAGCTTTCAACGTCCCCGCGGGTGTCCAGCGTAGCGCGGGCTCTATTTTTTTGGTTTCGGATATCTGCGGCTTGCCTCTTCGCCCGTCGCTCCGTAGCATGTCGTGCAGGTACGGCCCCCCGCAAAAGACTGGCCTGGGAATACGATCTTGGCAATCGCCTCCCAAGAGTACCTATCACCGGCGATTTCGCGAAGACAAAGCCGACGCATTGAACGGAACTTCGGATTTGCATGTTGGACGTCTAGACTAATGGACGTGCCATGGGACACGTTGGATGTCCAATCGGACATTTTGGACTTCTCATGGGACACCATTGGATGTCCAATACGTCCCATAGGCCACTTGGGACGTCGATTTTTGGACGCGGGGCGTCCCACGTATACGGCCAATGAGATGCCTTAGACGTCACAGCTGGACGTCCTATTGGACGTCCTGCGTGATTAAGCACCCAGACGCACATGAGCCTAACATATGCAGGCAACCAACAGAACTCATGGATCGGATGCGGCTATCAGTTGTGAAGTTCTGTTTCCTGCCAGGTCAATGTCATGGGCACGTGGTGAGGCTTTGATCGTCGGCGCGGGCGCCCAACAGAAACGGCACACTTGCCCCATTGGACGATCCCGCGTGTCCCATAGGACGTCCCACGTCCAAATTGGACGTTCGACCCTTCCCATGGGATGTCTTGGGCGCCAATGTTGTCCCTTCGGACGGCCAACGACCTTCAATGATGTAAGAAACCTATGTAGCCCACGCAATCTCCCACACTTCTGGCAGTTTTATTTGACTGCCCATGGGACACCCCTTAGCAGCCCATGGGTCGCCCATGGGCACTTCATGGACTGCCCATGTATGGGCCCATGGGCAGCCCATGAACTGCACACCGTGAGTACTTCACCTAGAACTTCGCCACCGGCATATCAACCTAGAACTTAGCCACCTTCACATTGACCTAGAACGTAGCTACCCCAGCACCAACCTAGCACGTATCGCGTGGGCTTGGGTTAGGGTTTTGAGCCGTTACAATGCCCCTTCGGACAATCTGTTGTTTCGGAGTACCCTAGTCCCGGTTGAATGGCACTCATTGACGGTCCATGGGCCGCCCATGGGTAGCTCATGGGCACCACTGCGCCTATGGGCACTTCGGTGCCCAAGGGGAGCCCACGGGTGCCCCATGGGCAATGAGCACAACGTGGTGTACATGGACGGTCCATCAAAACTGTGGGAGACCCAGCCTACGCAACTTCGTTGACAAAAACATATTTTATCGCCAAACGTTAAACCATTTGGCGACTCAGCGCTGACTGATCTTCTAATGGCTTAACATTTGGCGCTGAAGGATGCACGCTCGGGTTCGGATCCCGGCTGCTCACTTTCCCAAGCTCCTTTAGTTCTTTTTCTGCAGCGCCTGGCGAGGGGTCCGTCCCCGGAGATCCCTACTTCCAAAATCCCAGTGACCAGCCGGGTGGCTACGAGCCGAGAGTATATCTCGTGTTGAACAGGCTTACCGTATTAGTCTAGACTACCAAGTCAGCGCTGACTAGACTAATGGTTTTACGTTTGGCGTTCAGAGCTTCACGCACGGGGTCGAATCCCGGCTACTCATTTTCCCAAAAACCATTAGACTAAGTTATTTTCAGTCAGCGCTGACTTCGTAGTCTAAAGGGGCAAGTCTGTCTAACAGATCAGATAACCACGCTTCGTCCCAGTTCGGTTCTTCTGCATTATCTTGCGGACTTCCGTGGTTGTGCGGGTAGCACTTTTCAGCTCCGGGTTGCGATCTAAAATAAGTCATTTTGATGCTCTTGCCTCGTGTCGCACCCTCTTCTTGTGTTTGCAGCAATGTGGGTAGCGATATAGAATTAACTTGTTTCGTTCCTGGTTCTTGCCGCACCCCTATAGGCGCGACCTTGTGGTACGCCCCGGGGGGTTCACAGGCGATGCTAATGCAGAAGAGCACCTACCGCTCCCAGCTTCTGTCCACGTAACCTCTAGTCTAGTGTTCGTACATCGGCCGCCGGAGGTCAGAATGGGGGGCTTTAGGGGCTGTCCGATGAGTACTACTGCTGTAGCCTTTTCCCCCTACGACATTTCATGCACACACAGGTATGAACCCCAGTATTCATGCCGCCGTTTCTCAATCTGCAACTCACCTAAGCGGAGAGATCCAGTAGATCCACTCCCAAAACTGCGGCATGTTGTTGGGGTCGATGAAGAAGCTGTCGCCGCGCGAGGTTATGAACAACGACGGTGCGTGACACAAGGAAAGACGCGTTCGTTCGCCGAGAAGCGTTTGGAGTCGAGCACATCAACACCGAGCATTACAAGAAGACAAATATCTGTAACGGCCGCGTGTCTGTGACGGACACACAAGTATATGTAGACTGCATTGCATTGCTCGTAGTGCGAATGGCTAGAACGTACGGCTGGCGCCTAGAGAATACAACACGGCGATGCGAGGCAAAATCAGTATCGACATTTCAGCAAATCATTTTGGTCGAGAGCTGACTACCACGGTGATGAAGGGACACCGAAATACCGATCATTGGAGTGGGCACCCACCCATTGAAAATGAAGAATATGGACAGGACGCAGGAGTAGACCGCAATTGCCAGGACGAAGTTCTGCGACATCCGCATGCGCAGCAAGCGTCGCGTTGGAAGTGCACGTAAACGCGTGCACCGAAAGAGCGCAATGGAGTGTTAAGGGGGTTGTCTAAAAGGAGGTATACGCTAGAATACTCGTGTTCCCGTTGGCTGATTCCATAGATCGTGGCTGAGCATGCCAGCCTGTCGTACCTTACAATTTCAGGCAGGCTTGCCGTTGTAGGGTGTTCGCTGTTGTATTTTTCGGCACCCTTCGCTATGTGTCGTCAAATTCACCACACGATGACAAATATTGTCAATAAATACCTTGATGAGGACGCCGACCACCTGCGCGACAGACTCGACCACCAACAGCATGAGAAATATCACCAAGACGAACTGGGTGTAGCTGGTACAGTTTACTTTTTGAAGCGCCGGATAGATGGGGGGGTCTACTCATAGTCGTGCATGCCGTAGTCGTTAGACCATTGACCTCGCATCCCTACAAAGCCGGGACGGAGCACGCCGGGTTCTCACCGGACCAGGCTCTCACATCACCAAACGCGAAGCGCCGTGAGGTATTCGGCGAGTCGCATGAAGGGTGCGCTGCATCCTGCTAAGGGTGTTCGGCATCTTGTGCTTACTTTCTTGCGTACGGATGACAGCTGCGTGTGACTTAATTTATTTTCTGGTGCTTTCACTTCCTGAGACAGTTGTAAGCACTGTGTAACTGCCTCGAGGGCGCTTGACCATTTCAACACAACGTGGTGCGATCATCCCCCTTGCGCGAAGTGAGGGTTCTCGACCCCGCACATCATGGTCCACTCGACCACCATTATGGTTACCGCCAAAATCTCAGAGGTAAAAAAACCCGGTAACCTGGTTGCCGAGCTCACGAAGCGAATTGGCTTGTTTTACAAAGTCGTTGCCAAGCGACGAAACACCAACCCCGATGGCAAACACCGGGGTGGGGGGCTAGTTTACATCGTCGTTGCCGAGCGAAGAAAACCCAAACCCAATGGTAAACACCGGGGGGGGACGGATAGATGGGGGGGGGGGGAAATGGGACAATGGGGAATGTTTGAGATGATGGCGGCAATACGCCGGTGCAACGGAGGGCGCGACGGCGTACCGGGCATCCTGGCCTGACTACAGCTTAAATAATATTCCTAGCACGTGTCACCCAAGCATAGGAGTCTGCACGAGTTCGTCTCAACGATATTCGACATGGCGACCACCGTGCGGTTATACGTGAGGACAAAGTCAATCACCGGAACACCTTGTTGGGTCGTCGTTCATGTCGGTAGTCCAATACACGGGCGTGCAGCAGCAGACGGCGATTAGCAGCACGAACGGGGCTTGGACCATGGCGTTGGCGATGCAGAACATCGCCACGCCGTACTGCCCATTCTACAGTAGATCAGCAGCGGTGAGGGGTAGAAAAGCAGTTGCGAGTAAGGGGTACTATGAACGGGGATGTTAGCAATCAGTGTGGAAGACGTGTAGCAGAAAATGAGGCTGGTAGAGACGAACTCGGATACTGCGTCGTTCTGCCCCGGGTAATAGGGGCGGGAAGAGACGTCCTTGGGCCTAACTAACTGCCATGACGCATCGAAGCCCTACACCGACTGGAGTGCGACTGGGTAGCCAGGCCAGGTGCGTCGATGGTTTATTTTTTCCCGGGGGGGGTAAGCCCACTTTTTACGTTTTATAGGGAGGGCGACCGCGTTGGTCTTTTGACAGGAGGTTTCAGTTGGTATCAATCAATGGTCTATTTTCCATTTTCATTCGGCGTGAACGAGTGAAACTGGGTGTCTACGTGATCAAACCGCTTCAATAGTTTACCGTTTTCGTCTCTAAGGTGTGTGGCCTTTTCGTATGCGTTCCAGGAGAGCATTCCGGGTGGGTTTCTCACATGAGTTGAAGGCCTTCACCCAAATGATGGGAAATACTCGGTTGAGAATGTCCTCTTGAGTGTTTTCCACCTTGTAGTACCTGCCCGCGCAGAATACGAACATGCATCGCCAAGTGGTTCAGAAACTTGCATCCCCCCGTTGAAAAATACACATTCTCAACAGATTGACAGGCAATTCGAAACCATTCGATCATGTCCCGAGCTGCATAGTAGGCTATGTTTCCCGAGCGACACCTCGTGATCGTGTGCTCAGTGGGGAAACCGAAAACAATAATGTGAAATGAACGGAAAAATGTACGGGTCCCGAAAAATTGAAAGGTACTCGCGTCGGAAGGGGATGAAATTGACCAATGAACTGGGGAACACTAGACAAGTCTATCGGCCAAAACACTACTACTGTAGATACGATATTGCCAACCAAATAAATTTCAGCACACTTACGTTCGGAAGAGCGCTAAACGGTAGGGTGTGATCCTCGGGACGCCACCTCGGCCGCCCCATCGTTGCTATACAGTCCCCTCCTTCTTGTTGGTCCAAATGGGGCAAAACTGTATTTCATTGGAACCCTTTCTCAAGTTCGCGGGTCAAAGTCTAACAACGACTGTCCGGTCCTCACAAAATGCAGATTCCAGACGAAAAGATTCGGCATGCTGTGCACCCGATAGGCAATGTGTTGCAGTATTTAGTCACTCTCGAAGGTGCCATTGAGGTGTTCGCGGTTCAATAATACTCTTTCGACAGGAAACGCTTGTGACGTGCTTGCCACCAAACTATTGTGAGTAATCTGCCCTGATAAACCAAGTAATCAGACCTCAGGGCATAAGCGGCAGGATCCCTGACACTGCTCATGGCCGCCCTCGCGATCAGCGCACGAAGCTGCCGGAGGTTGGACATCCACTCCGCCTCGGGCTTCGCTTCCAGGGAAGGCGGAAGCGGACTATGGAGACGACTGTGGAGCGTTTTGCACGCCGATGAGTTTTTCCAAGCGTCTGCCAGCCGCTGCACGGCCTTGGCGTCGCTGAAGTCGGAGTTCGTGATCTAACAGGTCGACGGCAACGATTGTGTCACCAATTACCGTGATGTCCCTCGGGACCTGCTTCGTTCATCAAAATACATACATAGCCTGGTACTTCTCCGAGACGTATTGCAGGGATATACAGGTATTTAGAGCAAATATGCTCAACACTCGATCCCCGTTCCTTCAAGTGTATGATGACTCTTTAAAACATACTTCGCGGAATATCTACGGCAACAACGATTGCATGAGTCTGTCTAGGAGGAGGTACTGCAAACATTGTATTTCCCGATCGTTCTTTAGAGGGGCAGTACCTCCAGCAGGTAGTCGGCAGGGTTGACGAGGCCGTCTGGTTTGTGCCCCAAGCTAGCGAAGTGGTCGAGGCCGCCCACCGCAGGCCCGAAGTAGGCTGTCTGCCCCATTGTTATCAGGATCACCTGCACGTGCCAGGTGCAAGTGATTTGTCCCGAAGAGCCTGACAAAATTGGGGCATCGGAAGGAAAAGATTTCCAACACACCTACGAGCATCTTATTAGTCAACGCCTTACGGTAGTCTCGGAGGTTCGTCCCGAAGAAAAAATCCTCTCAGTTCAATATTCTGTACATTGGAACCTGGCGTGAAAGTCACCCAGGCGTAAAACGTGCATGTGAGAAAGGGCTTGCTGTGGGGCAACTTTCAATATATGCTCGATTGATTGCATAAACGACTTGGAACACATCCAGACATTTTCCGAATTGTGAACACATTGCGATGCCTTCGATCGGCATTTCGTGATGTGGGAATAACCAGTGCGGAGTTCGGACGAGATGCACATGCTGCTGCAGCGATGTTGGTACGTCGTGTTCATGGATAATATTTATGTGGACATTTTCCGTTTCGCTCGCAGTATTTGCAGTTGAGGTTCTCCATTGCGGCAGTTCTGCTGTAGTTCTCACACGGTCATACGTTGACGGTGGATCGCAACCTGACCATACATTTGTCAATCAGCATAAACCACGAAGAATTGTTATATCGTCGGGTTCGGCCACCATCTTCCTATCAGAAACAGTCATTCCCTCATATTCATCCATGCTGCCGAAGCACAAAGCAAATGCAGATCAGCAGTGCCCTTCTGACGAAAGTTTTCACCCACGGGTAAGGCGAGCGTTTCATTCACCTGGTCGAAACTGTTAAACACGCGACTGGACAGTTGGTGCGCGCTCGTGATGATGATCACTCCCATCTCCGACGCCAAGCGCCTTAGCAAATCCATGATCCCAGAGGCAGAAGCGGCGTCCAGCCCAGACGTTGGTTCGTCTAACCGGGGCGGACGATGACGAGTGTCTAGGGGAGTGCGAGAAGGAAGCGAAATACCATGGCGGCGAAGGCTCGTGACTAGAAGGAAGAATGTCAACCGAATACTGCTTGTATTCTGGCGAGGGGCGGGTAATCACGGCGTTGAGCTAGTTTTTTTATGGCTGATGGACGAAAGTCACAAGGGTCTGAAGTCGCGCACACGTTTGGGTCTGGGTCGAGCTGGAAGTGTAAGGTTGAGGGGGACGTTTGGAAGGGAATTTGGATCAATAAATTTGGCCTTGATCTTGCCCCTCTCTTCAATACGAATGAACTGTGTCCTTGGAACCGTGCGAACGATGGCGGGGTAGCGTCAGTATCTTCACCAAAACGGGGGTTCAGTGGCATCGCATGGACACCTTCTGGATGACATGAAGTCTCGTGACAGATTGTCTTGTCCCCGCTCGTATTCACGCACGACAAAGTCGGATTCTTTTTCAGACGATTGGTTTTTGTCAACCAAACTTTAAAGCCTCACCGAGGAAGAGAATCTTGCGCTGGACGACGAGCTCCACGCCAATCGAAGTCCGCCGCGTCTGACCGCCGGAAATACCCTTCAGAATATTGTTGCCGACCTTCTTTTCATTTGTGTGGCGGGGATCAGGACTCAGTAGGAGGTCGCGCGGACGCGGGAAGAAGGCAAGGGGGGTGAAGAGCATTGGTTGTACATCGGAACGTATCTCATGCACCGTTTGCCATGGGTACACATGGGCGACGATAAACTGCGGAGTCAGAGTGACTTGAGTGGCGTTCACCGCAAGGCCTGCCGTAGAATATTTGCGGCACCTACATACAGCAAGTCGCACCGGCCACAGGATAAACCTCGTGGCATCTACATCCCCTCTCCACTTGCGAGACGACCAAAAATATGGCGCTTGGTTTTGGCCTCTCTAATCGGGAGATGAACCATGCATCAACGCAGCGGGTGCGCCTAATGGAATGATGTGCCCGACGTTCTCCGAACATTCCTTTTGGGATCTACACCAGGGTATCAGCATGTAGCAGCTTTGTCTTGAAGGACATCCCCGCATCTCTCCTGTTGGTCAACTCCTTTTGACAGTGAACTCCGATTGACCGAACATCCTTGGCATGTGTGCGACGTCAGCCACCGCCCGAAATTCGTTTTTTTTTTTTGCCCTCCGACAATTGCAGATGAACCTCAGAAAACTTTCACTTAATGTCTCATACTCTACATGAATATTAAACAAATACGAAGGACAACAACATATGTAGGACTTATTTCTACTGTCACTTACATCGTAAAAATATCTCCTCTTCAATTTGAAATAAAACCAATCATAATCCTCATGGTATCCTACATGCGTTCGTAAGCTTGCTAAAATACTACTGCGTTGATGTCCTCTTGTAAAAGCTGATATCCAACAAATGCTTTGATCCATGCTACATCTCCGTGTTGGAAAAGCCCTTTCTTCTCCGTTCATGATAACATCTTACCCTATTCTACGCAAATCTGTCACATCTACTCTCAAACAAGACGCCAACTTCAAACGAAAACGCGTTCTACGATGCGTCTACACTCCATCCCCATATCATTGGCGTTGACTGGTTCGAGGTCGATCTTGTTCGCCTGTTTTCGGCGTCTTGACGCCCGCGCAATGCGAGCTTGTACCTCTGCACTCGCCGAGATATGGTTACCTGTGTAGCCACCCAAACAATCTGAAGAAGTCGTTCCTTGAAGACTCCTTGCAGAGCCATCGTTCTTCCGTCCCTTCCTGCCACGGCATGTGTCGCAAGTTCATCGATGAACTCGTAACCCTCCTCTCCAAGGATGCCAAAGCTTTCCACGGCTTAGGCGGTAAGTTTAAAGCTGCATTCGTCAAAGGACACGTGTCCCGGACGAGCGTAGTGCTGACGCTTTCGCGCCTCGGATGCATGGGCTGCGGTTCCATCGCTGGTCGCGCTGCCGTTCCGCAAGTGTACCTGTGCTTGCGGGTCTGCGTGTGTGACATCGAGGAGTATTCCTTTGTTGCGGTACCCCGGAGAAGATGCGTTCGTGAGGGCTCCTGGCCTGATGACGATGTCCATGCTCAGGTTTCTTTCCCCCGTGAACGGTGCCCCGCTTTCAACGTCGTGTTTGACGCGAAGGCCGTTGAGTGCTCTCGATAGTGCGTATTTTAACGGCTCGTGCATGTTGACCTGTGCTCCATCCCTTGGACAGGTCCTTGCGTGCACCGTTGTGATGATCTCGCCTTCCCTGCCTCTGTGGCACCTGGGACATCTTTCCGCCAAGAATTCTTCAACTCCCAAGGCGCGTCTCGTCGCGTAGACGAATTCGTTCGATCGAATCTCTCGAGCTCGGTCGGAGGGAGCCGCTCTCAGGAACGCGTGTCCCCCTTGCCCTTGCGAGCTTCTCGTTCGTGCGTATGCCATGTTCCTGGCCTCTTGACCTCCGTAGGGGTTGTCCCGCGTGGGTGGTACCGCCTCCTGGGGGAGGTGCTCCAGAGACTCCATGAACTTTTCAAGTTGTATCTTGTTAACCGCCTTGCCCAGTTTGTGCTGGGCTTTCCTCGGCGTAGTAGATTCCCCATCGTGTGCTGCCAGTTCTGCAACGGTGGGCTGACGCCTTCCGGTTTCTCCTGGCGGTTCTAAGGCCCACTCTTGTGGTTGATAATACCTGCCCTTCCTTCTCCTTGTTGTTCAATGTCGGGTTCTATCTCAACAGGCGGGAGGTTGGGATCACACACGCAAAGGAGAGAGACATGCCGCACAAGATACGCCACCTTGGTGTGCTGGCAGCTTTCCAGGCCCAGGCTGGTCAACACCTCGTCAACCCGGTGATCGCATTCCGCGCGAGACATGCTAGGCATGTACATCTTGCACGCAGACATCAGGTTTTCACGGACTGGGGCACGTTAGAAGAAGGCAGCGGCAAGGGAGGAGAGTTCGGAAGACCATGAGGGATGTCGTTTGTTGCTCAGGATTTCGTCCTTTGTCTGCTCGTTGTTGATAGTTCACAATCAGCTCTGGCTCTTTCGTGCACGTCTGCTGCGACTCTACGGAAATTTTCCAGCAGATAGTGATGTCCTCAAAAACCTAAGTCAATACCTTGCTTTCAGGGGCTGCGCCTTCCTCGGCTGTCATGCAAGTAGGAAGGGGAGTGAACGGATAGGTCGTGCTTCAACGATAGGCAGGTGGTCCCGAGTATACGCACGCGGGCGGTGTAACTCGAAGAAGTTGGTTGAAAATGGCTGTGCACGTTTTGAACAACCGCTTTGGTTGGAAACGATGTTTCCCATCCTGTCTTTGTGCTGGTTTGAGAACCCTTTGGGTGCGGTTGGTTAGTAGGGACTCAATCAAGCCTAATACTGGGATTTCGAAAGAGATCTTGCTCCGGCCTAGCCTGTCACCTGTGAGAGCACTCCACAGGCAATCCTCCTAAGGAACGTACGCGGCGTTCTCCAAGAAGAAGGCCTTGGACATCGCCTTGCCGTTGACGGTTACATTGCCCGTGATGTGCAGCCCTTTCGTGTTGTGATTTATCTAGAATCGAGTGAAGAACACGTTCAGTTGTTGCTTGATGAGGTTGTGAAGATGTCGCAATCGTGTTCGAGTTGGCAGACGCGATATGTATTGGTGCGTTTAGGGTAGACGCCTATTCCCACCCAGAATCTGTGCTTGGGAGACTGCTGTACCTGGCACACATTTTATACCACCGAAGCACGCCAAGTGTAGCTTGGACCAGCAAGCAACAACTGTGTTGGAATCTCACCCAAATTCGAATCATTTGTTCCCAGTACGCTGTGCACGCAGCACACGTGATCGGACGCTACGAGAACCGGCCTCATGTCTTTCCGCAGCCATTCGCTCAGAAACGATAGGAAGCGAACCGAGCACCAAGCTCTCGTCTCCCGCCCCGGCCGCCGCTCAACAGCACCACGAGCAAATGAAACTGTACGGGTGTGATACCCACGACGTGCCCTTCCCACCAAAACATCCAGCAAGGAGGTCTTGCCCGAGCCGCTAGTACCGATGATCGCAAGAATCTGTCCTGGTTCTACCGCTCCGCTAACGCCCCTCAGGATTTTTTTCACCCCGGCAATCCCGCCCATCAATAACGCCTTCGTTTTCGAAACCTCTAGACTCAACCGGACGTCGCGAAAGCGAAAATCCACCTACAGAAGACAGAAAAATAGACCAGCCGGTAGCCTTCGATGGTCCACGCAAAATTGCTAGGGAAGAAAGGGATCTGTGGGCTGTTGCCTTCATGCGCAACCGCGGATGCTTGCTCAGTCAAGGTTACGGGCCGATCGCGAACGTTCGAAATTGTGCCACTAATAAAGGGGATGCGTTTGTTCGGCACCCTCGTTTCAGGTTCCGTGCACGGTGTTGATATGGCCCCGTGCAGCGATACTTTTCAAGTTCGCCTCCGAGTACAACTCATCATGCTGGCACACTTGAATACCCAGTTGAATATCGTCCTCATCGTTTGTCACAGTGTCGACTTTGGGGCAGACTAATAGATATACTTGTAGCAATGCCAAGTGGTTGTAGGATTGTGTGGTACGTGGAATGTATTTCCAGGGTGTGCAAGGTACCCCTGTTGTATACTGCGTCGCCCCCTCATGGTGGTGCGTGCACGCGTGCGTTCAGTTCATGTGAGTTCATGTGAAGAAAAACTTTATGCAACAAACCCTACACGTCTTTCCTCCTTGGCGCGAGTTCGCCGAGTTGCCGACACCCTATTCAACACACGTCTTGCGACAAGCTACCCCCAGTTCGGATCATCCTAACACGCTAGCGTGCTGATATCATACGGGATCCCGAGGTGAGGTTAGCTACAAAAGGGTTCGGCTAGAGAAGTAGACTATGGAGGAAGCCCTCGACCTCAGCAGCTATACTGAGGAGGATCGCCAAGCATTAGCGGCGCACATCAAAGAGGAGGTGGAGAAAAAAGTACACCAGAAGATGAAAGAACAAGAAGAAAAGCGTCCCGCTTCAGAGAGCGTGGACATGCCCCCCGATGTAGGCGATCCCCGGCATGCTCGGCCGGCTGGAACAGCGTTGAACCCGCAACCTGAAGACCAGCCACGATCGTTGGAGGACCGTCTCGTTGATTCGTTCGCACGGGCAATGCGAAGGGCCAACACCCAGGGGGAGGAAACCAGGGAAGTCGTAACCCCTAAGGACACCATCCGTGTCAGCCCTGTAATACATGTAGCCCCGTTTACGGGTGTGTTAGATTCCAGCGGCGATGTTCAAGTTAGAGTACAGGTGTTTGAGAGCCAATTTCGAATGCTGTTGCAACAAGAAGATTGCCTGAATGCAATAGTATCAGAAGAGACAATCAGGGTGGGGAAGTCGGATGCAGACATTCCCAAACTGAAGGAGGAGTATGGTAGGAAGGCCGTAGAGAAGGCCATGAAGGCCTGGCAGTTAATACTGGCAAAGATTCAAGTTGCATCGATCGTACCAGCAATCATCTCTAGTGGTTGCCCAACGGAGTCATGGCGAATATTTCGAAATCATTTTCAAGTGCATGCCCACACAGAAAAGACGAGCCTCCAGCTAGAGTGGCAGGAGTTGACGCAAGGGGTTCAACAACACCCGAAAGAGTACCTGTCGAGAGGGTGGGTGCTGAGGCAAAGGCTATCATCTTGCGGAGTGACAATTACAGAGGATGATGCTAACAGACATCTTGTGCGCAACCTCCTCCCCGAATATGATGTCTACACAGGTTTTCTGATGTCCGAGAGCGGTCTAGAGAAGGAGAGAGTAGAACGGATTATAGTGAATGCTTGGGCGGAGATGGAGGCGCGAAGGAAGAAGAAGCAGGAGAGCGTGGGGGCTTATGCCCTC